AAAGTGCATTTCGTCTTTATTAATATTTATCTTAATCTCTTTCTTAGTATTTAAGTGTACATACATCCTAGCAACTTGTGCGACATTATAAAATATCAACGTGTTGAGGTTCACAAGACCATGCAAAACAGACGCATCACTCAAAAGCAAACAAGACAAAACAAAAAATGAACATTTCTCTTTAGATTTAACTCAAAAAACAAACAAAGCAAAACAAAACAAAAAATTAGTCAGTCGCCCATGGCAAAGCTGTAACATTATATCAGTGCTAATCAAAATAAATGTTTCTTACATAGCTGTGCTTTTGCTCTCTCTTTGTGTCTCTACAAAAACGCCGGTAAATAGTAACGTAATTAAAACATATCAACATTTCATTACCATGTATTTATTTATTTGGGGAATAGCGGTGTAATAAAGGGAATAATACAGTCATTATTGCAAAATAACACCCATTAGGGTAATACAAGTCTGGGGTTTGTTTTGCGATAATGACCGTCAGCTCAATTAAGTTCTCTGATTTTTGGATTATGGGTAAATTACAGGAGATTTTAAAACCTACCAGTTTCTAAAACCAATTGTTACAAGAAGATAATAAATTGAAAACATAAAAACAGACCATTTAAGATGAGTTGTAACTACAGAACACTTTTTCAGCAATGTGTTTACATTGTTGAGTGGCACAGGATTATCAAAAATAAAAATCTACATATAAAAATCTAGTAAAGAGGTCCTCCTTTGAGTCTTAGTTTAAAATGTGGTTACAAATAATGCATTACACAGATATTACCAAAGGAAAATCCTTTTATTTATACTAATATACACTAACCAGACTGAAAAATCTATTTAGCATTTACTGAACAAAAAATAAAACAAGTGATATTTCAATCACCTTTCAATCATAACACACACCCAAAATACGACAGTACTGTATCTTACCGGTATCTGTGCCGCTGGCGAGCGTGTTTGGCTGTGTTGAGCAGCTGTCTTTATCTGCTGGTTGTTCAGGTTCAGAAAAGTCAGGTGAAGAACTGAAGCTGTTTTCCTTACATTCACCGTGAGGAACTGCACCCAGCACCCTGGCTAAAGCCTTACTGGCCACTGGAGCATTAGTCACAGCTGGGGTATCTCCACTACTCAAACACTTCTGGACCTGCAGGGAGAATTAACTTTTGAAACAACATCCGAAGGGAAAACAGACCCTAATGCATGCACCTCTTCGATCACATTGTTACACTGCACTATTATCATGATACAGATGAAAACTAGTAATAACACATACAAACAACCTGAGTAGGCAATGTGAACATTAAGATGTTATCAATCACATATAAATTATGTACATAATCACAAACACTGCATAAAATTTGTCATCATGACCACTTTTTAAATATTCTCTTGTTTGTGACCTTATTGAGCAGCACATTTCCCAAAGCAGGTGTGGGTGGTGGTGGTGCTGATGGTTCTGGTTGGGGATGAGATAAAGGTGGTCCATTGTTCTTTGCTGGCCCTGGTGGCATAAACCTGGGTTTCTTAGCAGTATTTCCACTGAGCTGACTCGGAGCTCCAGATCTACGCATTCTGTCAATAAAGACACACAGTAATAAAACCATTAAAGATTAAAGGGATACCTTATATTCTTCTGTAAAAAAAAAACAAATAACAATTCTTTTAGTACATTTGAGGAAAAAATATTTGGAAAAAAAGAGATGCAGTCTCACTGTATTTATTGCCCCAGCAGTTTGTTGTCAATGATTTAAAATAGAACTGACAGAACCCCAGAAATTATTTTACTTAAGTTATTCATTTATTGTGTGCGTTTACACACTTTTAGAGGCGGCATGAATGCAAGCAAGTGGTCATAATTATACATTAAATATAAATATAACCAAAAAGGTGTTAACATTTCATTATTTTACTTTTTATAAAATTCCACTGATTACAACTAAACTCATATAGTATCTACTTTTTGATGTCATATGAACAACCAGTCAGTAACTACACTGATTTAAGTCTCACGAGCCTTGAGTATAACATAACACAGTAACGGTTCTTAAATAAATAACGGTGGCTCTCGTAGTACGTTAAGTGTTATTGGTTCACTAAAAAGAAACGACTCTATAAGAGTCATTTGGTCAGGAATTGGACTACTGGCTGTATATTCTTAATTCATTAAAAAGAGCCTGCTCATACGGGTTTGGGATGACATAAACAATGACATAAATTTCATTTTGGGTGAACTAACGTTATCCCTTTAGTCTAAGTTAGGCAAAGGACATATAAAAAGCATCTGTCGCTGTTTTGAGCTAAACCAGGGTGAACAACTAAAGCTTGTTGGCTCTCTAATTCTCCAATAACTTTTCAAGTGTACTTGAATTTAATATACTACAAGTAGACAGACATTACGTTAAACGCTTACCTTTTATTGTTTTCTCCTCGTATGGCAATCACTTTTCCTATTTTCAAAAACTCCCTCGAAGAAAAACCGCAAGCTCGCGTCTCCCACGGAAGTGACGTATCTTCACCGCGATTGGTCGAAACGAGACGTCACGTGAAGGGGGTGGAATGCAGGAGTTTATGAGCAGCAAAAATCAACAGTAAAGAGAGGCGTCAAAGAAACCTGACAGTAAATGTTGACTGCTAAAATTGTATCTAATCCAGCAGAAGTAAATGAAGCAAAATCAGGAGACGTCTCAAAATTGAGATTTAGGCAAGTGTGTGTTGTGTTTTTGCTAATTTGTTATACATTAGATGGTCTGTGGTACAGGTGAGAGTTGCTTTGAAAAGGTGCCTCATAAACTGCTTGCCATACAATTCATGCTCCTTAAAGAGTCTGTTTCCTAAGGTTTAGTATAAGGCCATGTCCACACGTACATGGGTATTTTTATGAGTTTTTCCTTCCGTTTAAAAAAAAATCTCCGTCCACATTAAAACGCAAACGCATGCTATGAAGCACTGTCAAGAGCATGCCAAGCCAACAGGTGGTGAAGCAAAATCAGGAGACGTCTCAAAATTTTGATCCCTGTCAACCATCACTTATCAAACAGGCAAGTACTATGTGAAACTTACACAATTATTAACCCTTACTTGTTTTATTTTAATTAATGTACATTGTACAACAGATATGACCATACAGCTTTTGTACACAAGTATAGTTTTTGACATCAAACCATTTATTGATTTGTATGTCTTTTATTCGTTTCAAAATAAAATCAGACATAGATCCTTACAGTCTTTCATTAATTACTATGATTCATGCTTCAGATTCATATTAACTGTAGAGATGGGTTATTAATTAACATATTTTATTGGCAAGCAGTACATTTTTATTTCTGTATTCTGAATTCTGTTTTCATTTGTACTGTACAGGTTTCCCACAGCCAATGAAACCTAAATATATGTCAGTAAATTGTTAGTCTTGAAAAAGACAGTATAAAAGAAATCTTATAAAGTCATAGATGTTTCTATAAACAAGACACATTTTTTTTCGTTATCCTTAGCTCTAGAATATTTAATTTGCAAGTATAATTTCTGTAAAATATATTTAAAAACATTTAAAATCATAAATGATCGGAAATGTCATCGAGAAATCATAGAAAAGTCTTGTATATTCATTGGTCAGTGTGTTCAGTCACTGTTTTATCACTTGCATGTGCACGGATGCATGTCCAGTTGTGTTTGTGCCAATGTTTTATATACTGCTGCATGTCTGAAAGTGAAGCTACAATGTTGCTGTGTGGAAAATAATCCAATCAGTGTGGGAAAGCGTAATCCGGTCTAATCCCAGCACAGCCATGAAGAACAGAGATCATTTAGGCAGTGAGAGTGTCCAGACACAGACACACCAGCACACACAAACATCCTTTCCTTCAGAAAAAAATATTCACAGTTACACAGTATTTCCTCAACTGTGGATCTGCAACAAATGACAATAAAGGTTTAACTAGAGTGCCACAGTATAGAAAAGTGTTAATACAGAATGAAATGCACAAGCCACACGATGACAGCGTAGACGAGATCAGTTGTTTTTACTCTCACATGTCCAGACAGGTGCACAGGTCACCTGTTACTTTTAAGGGGTTGTTTTTGAGGATGTCTTGCATTGATCTTGCATTTATCGATTTTACCAATGTTTTTTTTTTCAGTATTAATCATTATCTACATACAGCTTTGTGGAAATGTATTTATTACCTCTGCAAGTAAGTGCGTTAAAGTTCAAGTACAAGTCTCCATTTGATTACACTTTGTCAGTTTATTTAGCCTATTTTTAATATTATTGTTGCTAGCGTTGCTGATATAAAAATGAAAAAGCTATGTTTTTATTGTTGTGAAATGAAGATGAAATATAACTAAATCAGAAGTAAAACATTAAATAAATATAAATTTTGCATATCAGTTATAGGACACATAAACAAATAATCGGTATTGGTTATAAAAATCTTTATTGGTAATTCTAAAAATAAAATAAAAATAAAAAATCTAAATCTAAATTTATTCTCAAACATGCATCTTAGAGATGAGATCCATGTTCAATTTGACCATAGAACCACCAGAAATATTTCCCTTTGGATGTAAAATTTATGTGTAGGATATTTGTGTAGTTGATAGATGGTGTGTGGGGTTGCCAGGTGCTTCAGTCTCATCATGTGATCACAGCATGAGGAAGAGATTCCCAAAGGGTTCCCCTAAGACAGGGGTGCCCAAACTCGGTCCTGGAGGGCCGGTGTCCTGCAGAGTTTAGCTCCAACCAAATTAAACACACCTGAACCAGCTAATCAAGCTCTTATAGGCATACTAAAAACTCACCAGCAGGTGTGTTCAGAAGCCTGAAAAAGTCTCCAGTAGGCGGAGATAACAGTGCAAGCGCCGACGTCACAAGCCCAAAACTCCGGTTTCGATGTCTACACGGTAACACTGCAACCGGAGATTTTGAAAATCTTCACCCTGGCAGGCGTTTTCAAAAATGTTCGGTTTCAGTGACCTGGTGCTGCGTTTGCGTGTGGACGAACGGCCTAAACGCGTAGAAAAAGCTGCGGTTTTAAAAATAACAGCGTGTGGACAGGGCCTAAATGAAGATGGCAAACTGACCCCAGATCCTCAGTGAATGTCTACAGTCGTAACCCCACCCACTCATGTTTCAGTCCAACAGCTGCCACCTGGCTGTTTCTACGGCAACTGACCAGACCACCTTCAGCAAGCACACCTAAGAGAAGGAGGGAGAGAGGGGAAGACAAGATACCACAGACTCTGTTAGGTCATTTAACTTTATATATATATATTTTTAAGAAATTTTCTGGATATATTTTTAATATACATTATGCTGTTATGTTTACATTAATAGCCTGTATGATTTAGCGTACGCATGCAGTGGCCTTCAATATTTTAAACCTCATTTAAATAATTTTTTAATGTAAAATAAATATTTATATCTATTATGATTATTTTTCATTTTTTTCAGCGGTTTAACATTTGGAAAAATCCATTATTTATTTTAATGTAAAATAAATAAAAAAAATCTTACATTTCTGTACAAAACATTTAGGACATTTAACAAAAAAAATATTTAGCTTCAAAATATTATTTATTAAGCTTCAAAATATTTTTTACTAAATTTTTATTTTTAAAAGCTTAAGATATTCAAACATTTAAACATTGTTATTTGTATAGTTTTGATTTAAAAATTAATTTAAAATAAATTAAGTATGGTTTATATTAATGTAACTTATGACTTTGATACAACTTTAAGTTAAGTAATATATTTTTTGAATATATATTTTTCAAATTATATTTTAGGACATTTTCCATGTATTTTTAATATAAGTTATTCTTATCGATAGCCTGTAGGTTTTAGTGTGCACATACAGTGGACTTAAAGACATAATTTAGTAAAATAAATATTGTTAAATTTGAAGTTTTATCTAAAACAATCTATTCAATTTATTTTGCTCTAAAGTAAAGTTGTTGTTGTTGTTGTTTTTGGCTAAATGTCTAGTTTAAAATGTTTAATAGATAAAAGTATTAATGTGCAAATTATGTTATTATTGTATTTTTGGATCCATCCATCCATTATCCAGACAGCTTATCCTCTGCAGGATAGGTGTATTGTTGAATTTCAAAATTAAATTCAATTAAATGATCAAATTTTCCCATTATAATAAAGTAACATGTTATAACCATAAGACAACATTTGAGTTATATGTATTTTGGTACTTTACATCAATTTGTTCAGTGTTGTTTTCTGTGTGTGTGTACTCTAGGATGGGCTACGATCTAGAACGTTTTGTAGGCTATGTGAACGAGGGTTTGCTGTGCTGTGTGTGTCGGGACGTGTTAGAAGATCCTTTGCAGGCTCCGTGTGAACATGCCTTCTGCAGCTCCTGCATTCATGGATGGCTCGTCCACCATAACACCTGTCCAGAGGACCGCTTGCCTTTAGACATCACACATCTACGCCCACTGTTCAGGTAACACAGATGTATTAAATACCTTGCATAGAATCACCTGATCGTTAATGCCATTCATTTTATTGACTTATAAATACGTGTGTATGGTGTGCTACAGATACATGAGAAATTATTTAGCAAAGCTGCAGGTGAGGTGTGTGTTCCGGCCACAAGGTTGTGAGGTCACATGCGCTCTGGAGTCTGTTCATCGGCATGAGCTACAGTGTGATTACGCTTTGCTGAACTGCAGTAATGCAGGTACATACAGTGGGTACGGAAAGTATTCAGACCCCCTTAAATTTTTCACTCTTTGTTATATTGCAGCCATTTGCTAAAATCATTTAAGTTAATTTTTTTTCCTCATTAATGTACACACAGCACCCCATATTGACAGAAAGAAAATCCAGGTGTGAATAACTTGTTGCATCTTTCCCAAAAAGACTCGTGGCTGTATTAGATCAAAAGGGTGCTTCTACTCTAAATACTGAGCATGTGATATTTCAGTTTTTTTTTTTTAATAAATCTGCAAAAATGTCAACAATTCTGTGTTTTTCTGTCAATATGGGGTGCTGTGTGTACATTAATGAGGAAAAAAAATTAACTTAAATGATTTTAGCAAATGGCTGCAATATAACAAAGAGTGTAAAATTTAAGGGGGTCTGAATACTTTCCGTACCCACTGTATATACAAGCATATATAGTTATATCTTGGTACCCACAATTTGTTGGCAGGGAACAGGTGGCTTATACATGGCAGCTACAGTCTCATTCATACATATACAATACAAGCACTGTTGTAACAGCAGGTGAAAGAGTGTTGTAGCTGCATGATAAAGCATCTAGAGTTGAGTTATCACATTTTTAATTATTAATGAGGGACCCCCTCAGGCAGCCAATGAGGTGAAACGTTTACCTCAGGGTTAAAACAATTGAGCTGTTCCATCAGTAAGCTAAGCAGATTCTTGCACATAATACATATGCATTAGTTTTAGTAAGCTTAATGCAACATTCCCTAATCCTGGAAATCTTTGTTTGTGTGTGTGTGTATGTATGTATATAAAAATGCAGGTGACGAGTACTTGTGCTATCGTTGTGGTAGGTGTACTGTGTTTTATGTGTTGTGTGACTGCTGTGTGTCTTTTACTTCAACAATAAACCTTCTGCTTGCTGTGCCAACATTTTCACTGACTGCTCAAAGATTATACATTTAATTAATTGTATAATTTCATAAATGTAATTAAATTGTATAATTTGTATTCATGTATTTTATATTTATGAATGTAGTTTAAAAATAATTAATAATCATTTAATAATTTAATTAAATATTACTTTAGATATTAATTAATTTTTTTATTAATTTAAAGTTTTCTTTACAAAGAAAATTGGCATTATTAGCTGGACATTATACAGTAATTATAATTAGTTATAAAATAGAAAACGGTTATATAAAATTGAACAATATTTACTGTATTTTTGATTAAATAGTCTAACTGATCTGACCCCAAACTTTTGAACTTTTTTTTAATCATTTGTTTAGATGAATACATTCATCATTCTAAATGTAGTTTTCACATTTATTTAATATTTGAAAAATATATACTTTTTTTTAAAAACATATATCCATTTTTTTTTATCAAATGTTAAGTTTACTTCCTAAAAAGAACCGGCAATAATAGCTGGACGTTATATAATTAGTTATACAATTAACTCAGAGTCACAAATTCATCAATACTTTTGCTGTAAAGTGTTACTGATTGATTTGTCATTTTTCACTCATTCTCACTGATCCTGGCAAGACTATCACATATCATTCTCACAATTTCAACAAATCCTCATCCTGACCTAGATCATTTTACCTAGGGCTGTCCTCATTGTTCAGCCCTGACTGTTAGATGCTATTTCAAGAATTTTTCTCTGCTCTTTGTGCATGAACATTTGTTATGTGCCAGGGTTTCCTCTATTTTTTATGTTTAATGTTCAATTTTCTTTTGCGGTGGCATTCAGGCTGCCCGGTTCAGGTGTCGCGGCGCTCTCTGGAAGCTCATCTGTGTGTGTGTGAATACAGTAGTAGATACACAATCCTAAACACAGAGGAGGCCCAACACAAATGTGTATCGGATCTACGGGCCGAGCTGGACATGCTCAGGTAAAAACATCAGCTCAAGTACTGAGTGCAGGGTCGGCACCAGAGTGCACAAAGTGAATTGGCAACAACTCTAGATGAATTGGGTGTTCGTCAAAGATTGCACGCGGTCGGAGATTCCAGTGTTTACAGCTCCGTAAAAATAACCTACTGGAAGCTCTGTAGTTTTGCTGTATAGGCCTATAGATAAAAAATATTACAATTACAAACACACAATAACATTTTAAGTTACTTCCATTTCTGAAAAAAAGTATGTAGGCCTAGAAGTGAAAAAAGCCAGAAGTGAATGTAAACCAGATTTGGCCCAGACTCTGTTGCTATCTGTGAAGCCATGCATAAGAATAGCCTACTAATGTAAATTTGTTAACCCACAGTAACAAATTTTAACAGATTAATCGCATATTTTCGTTTGCTGCATGCTTTTAAAAACACAATAATTGTTTTTTTTGTTTTTTTGAGGAAAATAAAAAAAGATACGTCTCGTATAAGTTGCATTTTCAGAAATAATAACGGCAGGCCTAATAATGTTATAATGTACCAACATTATGAACACTATAGGATATTTTAGTTCCCCTCACTTTACAACAAATCCTTTAAATTTAACCGTATCAGAACAGAATAAGAATTTAAAAATATATAATTCTAATGGATAAATATAATTGCAGTATATAATAATATATGCTTAGCAATAAACATGCCAAAACAAATTAATTTATAAAAAAACGTAAGGTAAAGTTGGGCTTACCTCTCTCAGGCACAAAGCCAAATGTGTCCATATTCGCGATGTAGCTGAAGCTAAACTATTAGCCTTATTAGGTAAAATAGGCTTTATACTTCAAGCGCGTTCCAGTATCGACTGAAAAATATCATAATGAGCAAAAATATGACACAGTGGACCGGGTCTCACGCGGAACGGCACGGTGAACGGCTGCGCTGTTTCCAATCAATGCAGTAGCTTAGTGTGCGCGTGAGGCGCCGGCGCGATCAAACAGCTGAAACATAAAATAAACTACTACCTCATTTTTGGTCATACAGTAAAGGCATAATTCGAAACTGCAAAGTGCAAAGTGTTAGCAGTTTGAAAATTCAAGAATAATAGCAAAGTTAATAAGAATTCTTTCTAAATGCAGCACCGTTCTTATTTCGCTCTGCATAACCTGAACGAAAAAAAAAAA